AAAAAGAAAAAAAAAAGCTCCCCAAAAAGAAAACTATACTCACTTAACTTTTCACTACCAAGCCTGTTTGGAGTATATCTGACTTACCCTATTAATTAGTTTCAACCACATATATAAAGATAACTCTTCTTCCTGACCTTGAAATGTCACGGGAAGAAAAGTAAACCACACAGCTTGAGGTGAGCAATCTGAAAATGACATGGAATTGAGCTGAGTTAAGCCAAATCAAGACGCCATTGCTCACAAAGTCCAGAAAGGTGACATGCTGGTAACTTTAGTTACAAGTAACTGAAAAGCCTTATTCAACATGATTAGGTAATAAGGAAAATGACCTCTAATAACAAGATGTCTGGAGGTAGGATGTGCTCTAGCTTTGCTTTTCTGATTCTCTTGGCTATGCCCCATTTGTTCATTTCATCCTCAGGCTGTGAGGTGGTCACAAAATTCTAAGAAAATAGCCAACTCCAAAAAAAAAGACATCTCCTTTGAGTCCTCATTTTTAAGCAGAAACCTTATAAAAAGCCCCCACCTCCTCACTGGCTCAAGCTGGACCACATATCCATTGATGATGTCAGTCACTGGTTTGGATCATCAAGTCTTAATAATCCAAACTCAACCCTAGTAAGTGAGGAGGGAGTCAGCTTATCTTGAAGAATATGGCTGCAGAGAAGATGGAGAACGGAAAATCTTAGTTCTGCTATGAAGGATGTAAATGTCAGAGAGTAGACTAGACATCAGTGCTTCAATGATAGCGAAGGCAGACTAAATAGCCTTCTTTTCCTGCTCCCCCATCTAGGTAGACTGAGGACCCAAACTGGTGCCTAGTGACACCCAGTTTACTGTCAACATGAACAGCTTGACTATTCAACTGTATTCATTCCTGTGGCATTAATATTCTAGGAAACCTGCCCAGGAAGCTAAAGTTGCAAATAACTTCACTGTTCATTTCAAAAACTTCCTCAAAGTAATTTATCCAACAACTAGACTACTCAACTTACACTCATTTCACAAAAATAAACCATCAGTGTAGAGAGGTTGTAGTCACATTCCTAGTCAGGGACAGAGGCAAGACTTTTATCCAAGGTCTCCTGATTTCTGCCAAGTCTCTGCACAAGAGTATGCTTTGTCTCAAACTAAGATATTTTCAGGGCTCAAGGTGATGACAATCAGGTTTTAGAGACAACTTATGAATGCCTTGACTATCTTATGAAAGGTAGAGAACTCCAGAAATCACTTAACTCATACATTGAGGCCAAGGGATGTATTGTGATTTGCTCTATCACTCAGTTAATTGATATAATAAATGTGAGAAAAAATATCACAAGACATAATCTGATTTAACTGCCAGGGAAGGATGAAAACCTACATTTTAGTTTAGTTTTTAAAGAAAAAATATTGTGGGCCAAAAAGGACTTAAGGGATTTGAGCTGACCCTTAAACCAACAGACGGAATGTGAGACATCTTCATGGAACAACAGAGGATTTGTTAAAATAGTTTCAGGAATATTAGTTAGGTTGGGGGAAGGGGAAGATAAAGTTGATTTCATTTAAAATTTCCAACCATGTATATAGTCTGTATGCTTCTGATCTTCAGTTCAGAGACATTTTCCTCAGAATGCCCAGGTAGCAATAAGTTGAATTTTCCTAAGTACTGGGCTTGATATCCCCAATCTAAAAGTAACCTTATTTCTGTGACATACTGTATTAAAAACACTGAACCTAGGAAAGTTTTTCAAAAATTCTTAATTACTTAAGTTATTCTTCAAAATTAAGTATATTTTCAGTTTACAGCTGACCTTAATTATATTTGGATTTGAAAGAAATTTCAGAGAATCAAACCTCTATTTGGTCAACTGACTTCTTATATTTTCATTTTTCATATTTTCATTTTCAGGGATACAACCAGTCTGAGTTGTCAAAACACAACCAAAATAGGTGTAAAAATAATGTCACAGACAGCCAGGTGGGTAGAAAGGAGAAATAGCTGATTTCACTAATGGCCACAATACTGATATTACCACCATTTGTAATTAATGAGTCAAAAGAAATAATCATTAAAAGAAAGGATATATTTTAGATCTGTCCAAGTGTATAACTTGACCTTACTACTTGTGTAATATCAAAGTTCCAATTTAAATTTATCATTGTTCTACTTTTAATGGTTTTAAAACAAATGCAAAAGTTGCTATATATACAATACAAATCTAAATCTGGAAGATACTTAAAATTTTACTTTTACCATTATAAAATTACTTAGTAGGACCACTCACTTAAATTCCACCCCAAATCAATCATTTTATTAATAAAAGAGCCATATCAAAAGTAATTTGTCAATCGTACCTCAATAAAACTGGACAAAAATAATTTATTAAAAGACTTCTACCTTAAACTGTTGTGATGGATCAGAATATTCTGGGTAATCCTAAAATGAGTCAAAATGTTTACTTCAATGTTAATCTCATAATGTAATAGCATCCAGAACAATGCCTTTGATGCACTGGGCTGAATAAAGACACATCCTGACAGAGAACTGCTTTCAAAGCATCATTTACAAATGAAACTGGGTCATTTTCTCACACCATACATAAAAATAAATTCAAAATGGATTAATGACCTAAATTGAAGATCTAAAAACATAAAACTTCTAGAAGAAAAGATAGGCAGTAATTTCTCTGACGTTGACCTTAGCAACATTTTCTGTTTCCTCAAACAAGGGAAACAATAGCATAAACTATTGGGATTACATCAAAATAAAAAGGCAACCTACTGAATAACTGAAAAGATATATGCAAATGATCTATCCAGTCATGGGCTAATATCCAAAATAAAGAATTTATACAACCTGACACCAAAAACACCAAAATGATTGTATTAAAATGGGCAGAAGACCTGACTAGACAATTTTCCAAAGACAACATCCAGATGGCCAACAGACACATGAAAAGATGGTCAACATCACTCACCCTCAGGGAAATGCAAATCAAAACCACAATGAGGTATCACCTTCCACCTGTCAGGATGGCTAGATTCAAAGAGACAAGGGATAACAAATGTTGGCAAGAATGTGGAGGAAAAAGAACCCTAGGGGTCCCTGGGTGGCTCAGTGGGTTAAAGCCTCTGCCTTCCACTCAGGTCATGATCCCAGGGTCCTGGGATGGAGCCCTGAATCGGGCTCTCTGCTCAGCAGGGAGCCTGCTTCCTCCTCCCTCTCTGCCTACTTGTGATCTCTGTCAAATAAATAAATAAAATATTAAAAAAAAAAAAAAGAACCCTGGTGAATGGAAGCTACTATGAGATATACAGGACTCTTCATTACAACTCTTCTCATTCCTGCTCATTAAGTATCTAGGCAGTATGTGCTAGAACTGCGTTCTCCATCAGAGTGATCAGATTTTCCACTTCCATGGTAGCACTGAATAATTACTGGGAGTGGAGAGCAGAGTTCTCCAGAGCGCTCATACTGCACCTTAATCTCTCCTAAGCTGCCATATAGAGCACCGTTAACCCAATAATGGAAACAAAAGGGATCTGTTAAAGGTAAAATGATCCCGTATAGTTTCTGCGTGCTGCTGGTGTGACCAAAAATTGATTATTCAGATGTCTAAAGTGACTGAAGAGTCACTGGAGAGATGCCAGAGTCCTGATGAAATGCAAGATTATGTTTTCTGAAATATCATGTCTCTGCCTATTAGGGCTGCTTTTAAATTTCTACATACATCGTATTTTCTAACCACTTAGAAAATTAAAATCTATGTCGTGTATACTAGAATACTAGAAAAAAAAATGCCTGATTAAAGAGTACTGTTTTTCTCTGTCATCTCAAGAAAAAGAAAAAGATGTGTAGGACTCTAGCCTTTTGACTGTACAGATCAAGAACACACACAGTGACACAACTATTCATTGGAACATCAATAAATACAAAGTAATTAAGCTTTTCTATCCAGAAATCACACTTATCTCCAGCTTTAATGAAGTGCTTAGAAAAGTTTATTTTGTGCTTAGACTATTTTTCTAAAGCAACACAAAATTATTATACATCCAAACTCTGCAATGGTAGAATATTTAATATTCTAAAGGCAAGGCCTTTCAAGAAAACTGCTGTACATTATTATACTGTGTAAGTCTAATGGATTCACACAGAAGCAGAATCTAGACAAAAGAGGACATTACAGAAACTATTACATAATGGACAAGTGATTCACTCTGAGTTACGGTTTTTTCCCTTCTTGTAAATAATACAGTTCTTACTGCCACCCAGCACCCCTCCCCACTTTTGCTGTAAGGTAAAAACTGTGCTCTAACTCTCTGTGGAGTAAAACCATACTAAATATCCCATCCTGCTGATGCCCACTTGTGAAATACTACACAATAAAAAGTACAGCAGAACACAGATTCTGTGTGTCCAAAACGTAAGAATGCTATGATTTTTTAAACAGCAAGCATATACAGACTTTGTAAAATTAAGAACTTTGTGAGGGTAACTATACATTGAAAACATACACTAAACAATACTTTTTCCTGAGCAGAATGCTAACTTTATTTTATATCAAACTAATTTTCTATGAATTTTCAAAATGTAAAATATCAAGGCTTTTCCACAACATCAGATAAAAATCAGGAATGTTCACCTTCATATCCAAAAAAAAAAAAAAAAGGTTCAAGTAGAGGGTCAACAGAATGATGTAAAATCTGAAATGAATGGCCAAAATTTTAAATGATCGGTAGACAGCTCTTCAATTTTAAGGATCCCTCAGTAAACTTTGATTTGAAACAACAAAAAAGGGCTATTTATTAAGAATGAAAAACATTTCCAGAAAATTATCCAATTTGGAAAATGAAAAATGTAACCCATGGTTAAGAAAAATACAAATTGTACACTGAACAGAGGGGAACAAAAACGATAACCAATCTTTACAGGAATCAAGACAACACCATCGACTTATATAAAAACTTCCTAAATCAGTAGCATATCCTGTATTATCACATGTAGAAAACTGTAATTAAGCAAGGTAGTTTTTATTAGTTGCATAATCTAAAAATATGATGAAATTTTGGGCTCTATCTCTAAAACCACCAGAGTTGTCACTGAAATACACATTTCTTGAGACAATGGGCAAAGTTCCCATTTATGGGAAATATGTTCTTTTTTTCACACAGTGAAACTGAGAAAAATTACACCAAATGAGAAATCTTTTTCTCCAAAGTAATCTCCTTAACTACCTCAATAATGCAGTATTTGGGAAATGTAATTTTTCAACTCAGAAAACTTGAAACAGATTATTAAACAAACATACTGAAATCTTATTGCTTGGCACCAGATTTTTCAAAAAATTAAAGAATTGTTTAAACCATCACTGCCATTCTTAAATCCTATTTCAAACATTTTTATGCATTTTTACATAGTGCTACTTTTATTTTCTGAAGGTAGTCTGTTCAATCTAATGACAATCTAGACTGAACCCTGCAATGTACAAGCATGTCACAGTTTACTTCAAACCAAAAGAAATGTTCAATCTTCTCTTTTTGCCAAAATAATATTATGGTATTAATAAAAACCAACTAGGATTTATCTGTGGCCAATGAAGGACCCACAGAACGTTGTCGTATGGCATTCTGTGCAAAGTCTTTGTTTGTTCCTTCTTTACTTCCTGCTTCCTCTTCTGAAACATCATCTTCATCATCCTCTTGTTCCTCCTCCACTTTTTGCAAAGGTTGAGAAGATTCTGGTAATAATTTTTCTTAAAGATAAAGACCAGAGGGAATTAAGAGGTACAAACTTCCAGTTATAAAATAAGTCACTGAGATGAAAAATACAGCATAAGGAATACAGTCAGTAATAACGTTAACAACATTCACGGTGAGCATTAAAAAAAAAAAAAAAAAGATCAAGACCAGAAATATTTTTTGTTGTTGTTGTTGCTGTAACAGATTTGCATTAGAGTAAAGTGAAGACACAATTCATATGCCCATAAACTGCTTGCCACTTATTTATCAACCATAAATTTAGATTTCCAAAAGGAAAAAGTCATCTTTAAGTGACACCATAAAAACAAAAAGTGGTTAGGAAGATCCATTTTACTTACCAAATTCATTTATGAACCAAACTGAAATTAATAAATCAAAATTAATGCTGTGAATGTGGATGCTGTAAGAACATACATTGCATTCACTAGAACGATCTTAATTTGCTATTAAATCTTCCAGTGAACACTGAAACAAACTCCAACACTACCCTTGTTTCAGTTCCCAGGTGAACAAGAATGAGACATTTACAATTGAAGGTTATATTCCCATCCAGGTTTTTTCCAGGGAGTTTCAGAAATGTTCTTCCTTACATACATAATTTCATTAAGACATAATTACATTATGTGCAAATATTAGGTGTACAGCTCAAGGAATTTTTAATAACTCTGTCCACACACACATACCCTTTCCACCTTTTTAACAAGGCCTATTGATAGTTAGCTTAAACTTAGAACATACCAGGTTACTAAGAGATACAGAACACAGAACTGGGCCAAGGAGTTTCAGCCTGTTCAATGATCCCAGACTGCCCCTAATCTTAGGCAATCCAGAAGGGAGTAGGGAGACGCGAAGGTGCAAGGCAGAAGAAAACACCAAAGTGATTACCACATGGTGAACAATCTGTTGTTTGGTCTGGCACCCCTCTTTCTGTTGGGTTAATAGTCCCTTCCCTGTACCACATAGCATGTAGTTGTGGTGAGCACCACATACAGTTCACAGTAGTGGTTCTCCACCAAGGATGATTTTGCTGCTGCCCTACCCCCCTCCACCCTACACCCCCGGCCAAAAGAACACTTAGCAATGTATGGAGATATTTTTGGTTGTCACAACTAAGAGGAGTGGTGCTATTTCCAACCAGCGGGATGCTGCCAAACATCCAACATTGTACAAAAGACAGTCTGTCACAATTAAGAATTAACCAGCCCAAATGTGAGACGTGTCCAGGTTGAGAAACCCTGATTTACAGTGATTGTTCCAAACAAGTGAGCTCTTTACACTAGTGGAGTACACCAAAATTTTTTAAAGATAGGCGGGTATAGTGGAAAAGTGTATCTCCTTCTTACTTTGAATTGTGAGCTTAATCATTTTACACGAAGGACTAGAAAGAGCCAAAAATGGAACAAGCTAAGGCATAGAAAAGTAAGCAATTCAGAAACACAACATCTTAACATTTGAGCCCTAGGATCCAGCCATCTCTGCCCTCAGACTTCCTTGCTCCCTGAGGCAATAAATTTCTATTTTGCTTAAAGCTGGACTGAGTTGGGTCTTTCCCTAGCAACTCAAAATCTAAGCTAAATACATCCTAGAAAACAACTTAAATCATGTGGCCTGCTCTAGAAGGGGTGGTATCACACTGAACTGTGGTATCTATCAGTTGTGCCACAGATTACTTAAGAGACGAATTTGTTAAGGTTTTTCAAGTGATATAAATATTAAATGTACATTCACCAACTTTTATATTGTTTTTTACAAAGTAATCTGTGCTTGCATTTCCTTCCCTAGAGGTCACTGGCTCTTGCTGGATAAAATGATTCCTTCCCCTGTATATGTCCTTTTCAGTATTGACGTAATGATCTAAGAAATGAAAAGATAATCTGTCAGTTATCAGCAATCTCCACTGACTTCATTTCACAAGTCCTGACCTCAATAAATCCTAAGTCATGAAAGGCAGCACAATGAAAATGTCATGCCAACAGTCTAATTTAGGCCCTAATCTCCACTCTGTCACTTCTGTGTGACCCTGGAAAAATATTTCATCTCTCTGAGCCTTACTTTCCTCAACCACAAAAAGGGAAGAGTATCATTTATGAAATCCAGAGTTACAGGAAAGTGAATGGGATTGCACAATGTGAAAGTTCTTTATAAACAGCAAAGAGGGGGGCTTCCATAACACTGTAATTTTCAAGATTAAATGCATGTTTGAGAGGCAATTATACTAAGACAGACATCAGTGAGTACTTCTAATTATATAAACTCATCTTGTAGTACCGTGTCAATGCCACTCCTAAATCAGCTACGGGAATTACTTTTCCCAATATCCTACCATAAAAACAGACTTGGCTAACATACCAAGAAAAATGTGGTCACTATAATAATGAATGACTTCAAATGTGGTCACTATAATAATGAATGACTTCAAGAGCAGAATATATTCAACTTCTTCTGATTCAAGTATACTCAAATGGATCCATGAATATGATGGTTCAAATAAAATGACATCAGATCAATGTCATTAAATATCTACAAGTTATATGCAATGTTAAAATTCTCTACATCATAAAAGCCAAGAAAATAACTGTTTCAAAATCCACCAGGCTGTCATTCTTACATGAAATAAATATTCCCCTGCCCCTTCCAATATAACCTATCATTCCACATTTAGAACACTAAGCTAGAAGGGCAACCTGTTAGAGTTGTGATTGTATTCACAGAAATGAACAGGATTACAGTGAATAAAAAATAAATACTAAAAAACATACTTACTGGAAGGGTATGGCTGTGGTCTGCGCCTTTTTGAAGGAAAAAGGCAATCTGCCACAAATATCATACACTACAAAAACAAACAGAAGAAATCTCAATGTATGTGACAGAGCTAGTGTAACTATATTAAATTATCAGATGTAAAGGTTTTTTTCCTAGTACTCTGAAAAACAAAATACTTACAAGTCCTAGTAGTAGTCCTGAAAGCAAAGTTGCTAAAGCAAAAACTGCATATGATCCCCAAACTGGTAATCCAAGGTCCTCAATAAAATAGTTATGGCAAGTCTAAAATGAAAATTAAAAAATAAACTAAAAACCTGGTTGTTTAAAATAAAAGGGTGGTGTCAAAAATGTTAAGAAGAGAAATAAAACTTTAGCCCATACCCGGATCCACATAGAAAGCTGAAAGAGTGCAGACATACTGCTCATCCTGAAAGAAAGGAGAGAGCACTGAGAAACTGAGTAAAACACACAGCTTTGAAGCAGAACGTGTGTATATCTATACCTTCCCTTCTGGGTAAATTTCTATAATTTCTCTGACATGATAGATTTTATTGCTAGTGTTAATCAAGATTAGTGATACATCACTGATTTCAAGCCTGTATTAAAAAGTCTCATTAATGAAAATTAACAGTTCTTGAATTGTTATCACTATGTGATGTCCTCATAAATAAAACACTTGATAACTTTTTTCCTTTTCCCTATGCTTTGCCATTAGACTTTCACCTGATGATTTCTCCAATATACTCACAGCTTACAAGCTCTATGGAACCAGTTAGAGTCAAGTGTACTGTAAGCCAATGGCAACTCTTATTGATCCTTAAAATTCTTAAAAAAATGACCAGAGAAGGGATTCTGAAGGAAGAACTGGGAGCACCTGTGGAACTGATCCTTGAATTAACCCCCTTTTGTATTACAATTAAATAAAACTTACAATACCATTAGTTTGATATAGCTTAATGATATATAAAGAAATTACACAGGAAATAAATACTAATAATATAAATAAAAATAATTATTATTTTCACATAAACCCAAGTAGTTTAGATGGGCAGTTAGAAAGGCATGCTCGAGAACTAAAAGGGTTTGTGGGGTCCCAACTGTTTCCCCTCTGGTGAAGGTGTTGCCACCAACACATAAACTAATTCATACCTAAGCGAAAGTTCCTGTACGCAGGATCACCTAACCCATTGCCCATCAGTGGGTGGGTGACCATATTAACACTTGAAAATACCTCTTATTCGGTCCACCAATACAAAAGACATGGACTGCTGGATCCCTGAGGATTCAACAAAGACTTAAAAGCAACCCCTTCTTCTACTGGAGAAGGGAGGAATCATTTATGAGATTTCAAATTAACAAAGTCAGTTGCATTTCGGTTCAACATTAAAAGGTGATTCAATCAGGGGCACCTGGGTGGCTCAGTGGTTAAGCCTCTGCCTTCGGCTCAGGTCATGATCTCAGGGTCCTGGGATCAAGTCCCGCATCGGGCTCTCTGCTCAGCAGGGAGCCTGCTTCCCTGTCTCTCTCTCTCTGCCTGCCTCTCTGCCTACTTGTGATCTCTGTCAAATGAATAAATAAAATCTTTAAAAAAAAAAAAAAGTGATTCAATCATATTCCTTCCATTGTTTAAATTGCAAAATGGGAAAAGGAACAAAGAACTGAAACAAAGCACTATGTAGCCTCACTACAGTCAGCACTAATTAGGCTCTATCAAGAATATTAGGTGCCTTAACTGGGTTGGCATGGTGGTTCAGTAGGCAGAATTCAGACAAATACAGGACAATTCAATTCAGATTTTCACAGGAAGAAAGATATAAGGGAAAGGTACTAAAGACAAAATTCTATTTCAAAATACTGCTTATGGATCATCTTTCCTCCACTCCCAGAATCCACAGCATTTTTCTCTCTTAGACAATTGTTTAACAACCACCCCCATCCTCCAAGAGCAAGTGTGGTGAGGAGATAGGAAGAGATAGCTTAGACACACCAGCATGAGTCCATGGGGACCTCAGCAAAACTCAGTATTTCTAGATGTCTCTCAAATGACCTGTGAGGCCTTACACCCCAACAGGTAGCAGGAAATATGCTAGCCATCTCCAATTCTTACTACTCCATATATCTAGCTATATATATTAAGCCCAGTGGTTACTCGGGCCATTAGGGTCACTGTTCATCCATACATTCATTCAACAAAAAATTATCAGATGGGTAGAATAATTCAATCATATTAAGAACTGAAATCTAAAAGTAGCAAGAGGAGGTATATGTTTAAGGCTTCTTATTTCAGTATTAAGCTCAAATGATAACTTTACCCATCATATTGCTCAGGAAGATTGATTAGTTTTTGATGATAGAAATGACCATAATCCACAGAGCTAAAATATTCCTGAAAAGGCTTTCAATTCTAGTGAACGCCTCCTTTTAGCTTAACAAGGATCAAAGTATTTTTGTCTCAGAAGAAAAAGTCAAACTAAAAATATCACAGCAAATATGAATGTACCTTAAGGGTCCAAGAATCAAAAACCCACTATAAATGCTTTATTTCTACAAAATATAACTGGTCCAGTTAATTCTGAAATAAATAAAAGAAAAATCCTCATACTTACAGAACAGAACCTGGACCAAACCATGATGAAACAGGTTCAATACTCTTCCACTCTTTCTCGCTGATAAAGTTTATGAAGTCCTTCTTAGTTCTTGGGCCCTGATAGCGCCTAAATTCACCATCTTTACCACTAAAGAGGATCAGAATCACATATTAAACAGAACCAAATAAATAAACTTTGTATTTGTTTTGCTATTTTTAACCTCATTTTACAATCAATCCTTATATTCAAAATCATTAGTAATGCACTAGTAACAAATTAAACTAATTGCACTCATAACATCTTAGCTCCAAATTTATTTAAACGGGGTTATAAACAATCATAAGCCTTCAGACTAGTCTTATCTTTCCAAATAATAAAACAATGAAATAATAAATCAATTGTATCTCAATAAATATGTGATGCCCTTATAAAAGAATGACTATAAAAAGTTGTTAGAACAGTGTCTGCACTTATTAATTACTAGTTACTTTTAAGTATATAGGTTAAAAAATTTAAGGCATTTTTCTGGTATTTTCAGCCCTAATAACATTATCTTAACCATGCTACTTTAAATTGCTGGAGGTATCTGGTCGTATTTCCTTTCCTATTTCAGTCATTCTACTCTACAGTCTACTTTGCATTCTTCCTGACAGCCCCCTCCCTCCTTCCCATTCCCAATGTATGGAGTTCTCATAGGTTCAAAAATGCTCTCTCTACTCCTACATCTTCACTATTTCCAAACTACCCTCAATAATACTGCCAGTCTAATCCTATAGAATACTTCTCTCTTTATCACAGAAGTGCAAAAACTTTCAAGAGCTCCCTACTACCTATAGTAGGGTTAGAGGATCCTTCAGTCATTCAGAGCCAAAGACCACAAGAAAGCCCCCACCCAAAAAAGAACTTTTTGTAAAGACAATGGCATTTGAGCTGTTTATGAAAAATAGGTAGGAGTTCAACAGGCAAAAGAACAGGCATGATACACAATGTAAGCTAAAGAAAGGACAGGAAATTCTTAGTTCTTAACATCCCCTGAACTTACCTGGAATTAAGTTCAGGGGATGTTAAGAACTAAGAAGGAAGATGACAAAAATAATCAGCTCCAGTTAAAGGACATGTGGAGAAAAGGACTGAGTGAAAAGGGACAGTAATACTTATGGTGACATGAATAGACACAAAGGGAGTATGGATGAATACAAAGGTAGAGGGAAACAGGCATTAACATGAAAATTAAAAAGATGACCAAAAAAAAGGAGCTATAAACACACAAAGAACTGCCAGCTTGCTTTCATATTTGAAATGAGAAGTACCTCCTGGTATTCAACCCACCAGCTAGATGAACTTTAAGGTATCAGGCAGGTACAGGCACACCTCGGTGGTATCACAGTCCCACCCCAGTAAAACAATTATCACAATAAAGCAAGTCACAAGACTTTTTGGTTGCCAAGTACATGTAAACATTTACTATACTATAGTCTATTAAGAATGCAATAGCATTATATCTTTAAAAAAAAAAAGTATATTCCTTCATTTAAAAATATTTTATTGCTAAAAAATGTAAACCATCATCTGAGTTTTCACCAAGCTGTAATCATGGGCCACCATAAGAAACAGAGTAATGAAAAAGTTTGAAATACTGCAAGAATTACCAAAATGTGACACTGAGACACAAAGTGAGCAAATGCTGTTGGAAAAATGGTGGATAGATTGGCTTGATACAAGGCTGCCACAAATCTTCAATCTGTAAAAACTGCAGTATCTGGGAAGCACAATAAAATGAGGTATGCCAGCACAGAATTGAGATTTCCTATCCCCCGTTTATTAGACAAATTCAAACTAAAAGATCTGATACTGGAGACTACATAATCTTGCTCATTCCAATTTAGCACTGTCATTTCACCTACTACTGTCCAAAGACTGAGCTATAGCCCTTTCTTAGCCAATTTTTGAACATACCATGTCCCTATTTATGACCATTCATGAGATTATTCAAAGTACTTTTGTACTCTTTTGAAGATTCAGGGTTGTGTTTACATCCCCATATCTCCAGGAACCATGCTAACCCAGTGATTTTTTTTCCCTTACCAAGCTTTCTACAGGACTTAACACAACTCTGGGCTCATAATCATTTATGACGCTATATGGTATCACACCATTTCATGTGAACACCCTCCAAAATAATTACAAAGTTCTGAGACCAGGGACAGTTTGATACCTCATCCATCTACCTAAAGACACCTAGGATAGCGCTAAGAGCAAAATGAGCCTTACTGAATATAATGCTCTTTAAACATGATCCAGGCCAGAAGCCTACTATTCTCATTATACTCTGTTGCATCCTTCTCCATAACTAAGAATCTTCAAATACTTACTGATAAATAGTAGGAAGAGCAGTTATGATAAATCGTCCACTCAGCCCTAAAAATGATAAAGATTACAAATAAATACAAGAAAGAACACACAACAGATTTTATATGAGCCAACAATCACTACTTAAAAGTTGATTCTAGGGGTGCCTGGGTGGCTCAGTGGGTTAAAGCCTCTGCCTTCAGCTCAGGTCATGATCCCAGGGTCCTGGGATTGAACCCCACATCGGGCTCTCTGCTCAGCAGGGAGCCTGCTTCCCCCTCTCTCTCTGCCTGCCTCTCTGGCTACTTGTGATCTCTGTCTGTCAAATAAATAAATAAAATCTTAAAAAAAAAAGTTGATTCTGAATTATTTAAATACTAACGGGGAAAGCATATGAAATTATACCTAAAAACAGCTGAGCTTTGTAAAAATGAAAAAAAATCCCAATTACATACTGAAACCAACTTTAAATAAATGAACACTATTATATATTATCTCAACTAAAAGTACATAAAAGTTTGACTACTGAAGTGATCTGAATATGTATTTATTAACATTTGATCATTTATACCACTGTATGATAAGACTACTAGCGATAAGTGATGGGGCAGCACAATTTAGCAGTAGTCTTAGAAAGGTCTAAAATCAAATGAAATTGCATTTGAAATTCGAAAAATAAAGGCAGAGTCAAACGTGTTAAAAATGGAGAATATTTTGAACCTTTTATAAGATGAGCAATAACAAAAAAAAATTAGCCATGTGTTAGACAATAACATAACTAACGATTAATCTAATGCCTCAGTTTTCTTATCTGTAAAATGGGGATATTACCTACCCCACAAGGTTGTATAGGATTATACAGGATAAATGCAAAACACTCGAAGCAATATCTGTACTAGGTAAGTGCTCAATAAACTTTAGCTATTATTACCATCTGGGGTGGGAACAGAGTCAACAATCTAGGTTTATTGTGACCAAGAACAAGTATGATGAGGCTGGCGTAAGAAAGAAGTGTCCTTAAGAACAGGCCTGCCACTTATTCAGGGAGCCAAGTCAGGAGTATGTTTGACTCCACAACCACGACCAAAATACACAACCATTTATTAAAAGCATGTCCTCAAATCAGAGGTATTAAATTTGAAACCCAGTTAAGAAATTCGGATCACTCCTCAGGGAACATGACCTTGGCTCTACACAGAACCTCAACCAGGTTCTTATTCTGAAGCTTGGTATAGATGCAAATGATGGGTTGGCAACCACAGTATTCTAGGACTTCTTAAAGGCATCTTACACGCTAATCTGGGCCCTGGGATACAAAGGAAAGAAAGATCAGGGGCAGTTAAATGGGCAAGTATGGAGAGAGGGTAATGTTTCCAAGGTCCCTTAGAGCAACACATAAAAGGAATGAGCTGCATATACAACCACAGACCTGCTTTCTACAGCCACTGCACAAGGATCCCTCCTCAGAGAGATGGGTGAGTCCGCTTAAGTAGTACAGTTATGTTTTCAAAACCTAATGAAAGGTAGTTAAGATCAAGTGATGTGGCAAACAGGATGAACTTATGAACCCAATCTGCAAAGACTAACCACAGACCTACAGTACCTGGCTGCTCTGTGACATCCACTTTTGCAACATTGACTTCAAGATCTTCTCCCCATTCAGCAAAATTTTCCCATTCCGGTTGAAGATTCTGACAAGCAGGACACCATGGAGCGTAACTGAGAAACAGAACAGAAAAAAAGTTAAACACTCTAATATGATCATATGGAGATAAAAATTCTAAGCATATAATTCATGAAGAATATTTTATACAAAAACAAGATAGCAAAGTGACTAATTTTGTGAAGATGAAAAAGTTTTAACTGTAGGTCTAACATTCTGGCAATCAAAACTAAATGATAACGCTAATCACAGAAAAGTAATTCTGAGAGTAAGTTCTTAAGCCACAAAAATTAGCTTCTAAATTCACATGCAAAACAGCTCTTTAAAAACCTATGAATTTCTCAGGGTCCCTGAGTGACTGAGACAGTTAAGTATCTGCCTTCAGCTCAGGTCATAATCCCAAAGTCCTAAGATCAACCCCTGAATCAGTCTCCCTGCTCAGCAGAGGGGAGTCAGCTTCTAGCTCTGCCCCTTCCCAGACATGTGATCTTTCTCTCAATAAATATTCTTTAAAAACAAAAACAAAAACAAAACCTTTGAATTTCTCCCTAAGTATGTGGCCACCAGAAACCTCAAAATCGAATTTGGAGTTCACTGGTTTTAACAATTTGCACTACAGGAGTCACACATGGGAAAAATAGAAGTGCCCAGGGCTGAGGTGAACAAGGAAATGCATGGCCCTACTTAAAAGGGGAACCATCCCTCAGCAAGACCATCAGGAAGGGAATTATAGCTAGGTAGCAGGCTCTATCTTATTTAAAAGAAGCTGAAAATCTGCATTTTTATGTAAAAATGCTACCTCAAAACTTAACCCAGACACAAACACTAGGCAAGCCAAACAAAATTCCTTTGGCCAGCTCTTGGTCAGCCAGTTTCTAAGACCTCAGGTTTACAAATCTATGGGTAAGTTTATTAGCTTTTTAATTACTCCTCTGGTATTCCACATCTTTCAAGGCCCTGACTTCTCTCTAGGATTTTATTCTTCACTTTATTGTACATCATCTTCTAATTTGCCTCAGTTTTTTTTTTTAATGGAACCAAGAAGAATAAAGCGAGTACTTGTTGAACACAAGAGTACAGTTTCTAGATTTCATTATATTTTAACTTATTTTATGAAAACAGAATTCCTAAAAGTAATTGGCGCTATAAAACAAGACTAGTACCATACATAAAAGGCCAAGTCCTTAACAAGAGATTATATTTCATTGAAAGCATCTCTGTAACAAAACTGATCAGAATGGATGTAATGCAAATAACAAACTTGTAATAAGAGCAGATTATCAACAGGACTAGTACTGGGCCCCGTTTTCAGGTTCCTTTTGTTCTTAGATGATTTTAAAGTCTTAACCTCAAACTCTGAAAGCTAAAGGAAAAAAAGAACAAGTACTACAGTATATTCTAATTTCACAGAGCAGTTCTAAATTCAAATCTAATAAATTTTTGGCCACTGTATAGTTTGATCAAATGAGCTAAAAAAAAAACAAAAACTTCATTACTTGAATGAGCTAAATTAAAAAAACCTCATGTATTACTTGACTGTATTTTGCATATAAATTCATAATCACTATTGTTTAATATTCATGAAACTATGAATATTTTATTGACACAAGCTAAAACAAGTTATTCATGACAATAAAAACCCAATGTTGTCTCTGATTATATTTCCTCTCTCCTGTAGCTTCAATGGTGTCTGAAAATTCATTTCACTAAGTTACAGATTATGTGCACACTACGTAAACATTTTTCCCTATCTTTTCCCCCATATAAATGTTCTATGCCTTTTTCAATTTTATGACTCGATAGAGTTATTGATTTGGCCTTTTGTGCTCTCCTTTAGGAACATCCACCTCCATCCATTAACTGGCAACCCAAGCATACAGGAAAACACTCACTGAACTCTGTTAAAGAAGGGGGCTGTTCTAACAATTATTGCATACCTACTCTTAGGCTTTGAAAACAGAAAGGAAGCCAGTATTGCCACACTGGGCCAGATTAATGAAAGCCTTTAGGTATTTCTCTCACTTGTAAAAAGAGGAAAATAATACCCATCTTATGGACTTTGTAGAGAATTAAATAGGATAATGTATAGAAAGTGGTTAGCAGTCTTTAGTACAGTTAACACTCAGTAGTGGTGCTTGTATCAATAATACCACCACCACCAATTTAGCAACTATAGCAAAAGCAGGCGGTTTATTTTCTACCTATGCAAAAGAGACATTATAACAGAATCCCCAGAAATAAATGATTTCCTCTGAAAAGTAAATGACCTGGTGGTCTTAAGAGTTTATAATCACACTCATACATTAATTTTTTAAAGCAGTATCACTTGGACGTTAAGAGTAACAATCCAGGATACTCAGTACTTTGCAAAAACAAACATCCAAAGGAAAACTGAGATGCGGAGAAAGAGAAAAGAAAATTTAACAATAACCCAACTTGAATTTACTCAGCACCTAAAATAAAAATATACCCAATCTATAAAATAAAATTTAAGATAAAGGAGTCTCAAATCCCAACACTGTAAATGGAGTTTTAAAGGATAATTAGACAAAAGGAGAAGAGAGGTTCGGCTCAATTTCCTGTTTTGTCAAGTTTGATTTAAGGTAAGTCTAGAAGTTTGTGAAGGATCATTCTAAAATAAATAACTGTATAGAAACTAGTCAAACGAACCACCTCCACGCCCAAATTCATGAGAAGTTGAAAGAATTCCAAGTTGAACGCCGTCTTTTAGGCGCACCACAGCGCTAAAAACGAAACTAGGATGCACATTTTAGAAGAAACTTCATATTCCCCGGTAAGAAACGAGGAGGGGGTGGGACCAAGCTGATCCAAAGAGGAGTTAAAGGATCTGGAAGAATCAGGGACGCCTGCTCCACGGCTCGGAGTGGAGTACTGGAGAACCTGGGACCCGCAGGAGGTGGTGAATGAAGGTGAAGTGGGGTCTCCAGACTCGGATCGAGGACACGGACATTCCGGCCCACCGAGGGGACCCGAGACAACGGTCCCACACTCACAATTCTATCATCCACTCTCCTTCCAGCAACTCTTTCCAATTCTCGTCCGTGATGATGCGCACGTCGCTCCGCCGCCCGTGGGTCCAAGGAGTTCCCCAAAGCAAGAGCAGCATCATTGCCACGGGAGCCACGGGACTCCCGGAGGGCGTCATACTGCAGCTCTCCCACCCCACAGCAAACGCGGCAGCCCCCACCTCGGCGCAGCCGCTCCTCACTTCCGCCCTTACGAGCTTATCTGCTCATGCGCCTGACCGCGCGGTCAGCGCGCGCGTGCGCGCGTTCCTGGGAACTCTCAATGCGCATGACGAGGTCGGGTCCTAGTGAGTTGGGTTTGTGGAAAAGAGGGAAGCGCGCCTATCCCTAGTGCGCATGACAGAGAAGCGGTCCCTTCCCACCGCTTCATGAGCCCTAGTACTTTTGGGAAGGAGAAGAGCAAACAGGGGGCAAGGCGTAGGAAATGGGGCGGAGCTTCGGAGACGACTGGCTTGGAAACTGCTTCAGCATTTTGGCGCCAAATAATTGATATTCATACTTAACTCAAGCCGATTGGTAAGTTTCCACAGTTTCCAGTTAACTGCCCTTCAGAGCTTTCATTTGCTTCTTTTGAAAACTTTTGTAGTAAAACTAATGAATGTTGGACGCCTGGGTGGCTTAATCGGTTAAGCGGCTGCCTTTGGACTAGATCATGATCTCGGAGTTCTGGGATCAAGCCCCGCCGTGGGCTCCCTGCACCGCGGAGAGCCTGCTTCTCCCTCACCCTGCTGCTCTGCCTACTTGTGCTTTTTCTCTATCTCTCTAATAAATAAATAAAATCTTTAAAAAAAAAAACTAATGAATGTTTATGTAAATCAGAGTATTGGTTTACTTCTGGAGGATTGCAGACTGGAAAGGTGCACAAGGGAACCTTAGGGGATGCTTTTCACATTCTTTATCTTGGTCGCAACAGTTGGTTACACGAGCGTGCAGGTAAAAAACCATCAAGTCGTATATGATGAGGTGAGTGCACTTTATGCACTTTAGGGTGTATGTTGTCCCTCAGTTTGTTTCTAAATGTAGTAGTTACAGAGATGCGACATCTGAAATTCAAAACACATAGGCTTATAACAAATATTTTAGATTTTTCTCTCAAGCGTTTGTAAATGCAAATTCAAATCAAAATGTGCACTGTCTTTAGAAAGTACTAGTCAAAGAATAGTCTTTGTCAGTAGATCTCCTCACCTCACATTGTTGCCTAAACTCACTCCAGTTGGCTGACTTACTCACCCCTCCTTCCACTGAAAGGCACTTTCTAGGACACTAGTGATTTGCATGTTAACAAAGCTGATTATTTCTTCTAAGTATTCATCTTACTCCATCAGCCAGCAGAATTCTACAGTCCCCACACTTGAAGCTGGTTTACTGTCTTCCTTCAGTTGAGCCTCACCTTGATTGTTTTTTTCTCCTTCCTCACTAGTGGCTGTTTCTTGGCTGGTCCTCCTCTATGTGATTCTAGTTATTGGCTTGCCCCAGGATGCTGTACTGGCCCTTCCATATCCTTGTATCCACACACTGCTCCAGGTAACCTCTATCTGGTTGTATACCTGTCATTCCCGCTCTGACCCTTCTGGGAACTTTGGACATATGTATTCAACTCTTTGCTGGATAGCTCTTGGATATCAAATAGGTGGTTTAAACATAACATGAACAAAAAATAAAATTCTTGATTCTCCCTCTCCTAGACTTCCATCTCAGTAAAGAGCCCCAAGGACCATCAGGTTCCTCAAGACAAAAATTTACATTTTAATTCTTTGTTGTTTTCTCTCTTTACCATGTCCTCCATCAGCAAGTCCCAAAAACTTGATCTCCAAAACATAGCCTGAAGCTGAGCACCAATTCCATCTCCACAGCCAACATCCTAGTCCAAGATTCTATCATCTCTTGCCTCTACTATGATGATAGATTCCTAACTGATGATCTGAAATCTGCCCAGCTGCTCCTTCATGTAGTACTTGCCCTCCTCCTCTTTACCCTGCTACATTCCAGTGGTTCCCTGAAGATGCCAAACTTATTCCCACATTAGAGAATTGGTATTGGGTGTTCCCTCTACCTACACTACTTATCCATTGGTCTTTGTATCAGTCCATTTTGTCATTGATCTCAAGCGTTACCTCTTAAAAGTCATATTACCCATCATATTAGTCCACTCTAAATCTCTGCATATTAAACTGATGTCCTTGTTTATGATCTGATTTCTTTCCTCACTCATTAAGAATATAAGTTTCAGGGCACCTGAGTGACTCAGTCAGTTGAGCGACTGACTTGATTTGAGTTCTGGTTGTGATCTCAAGGTTATGGGATGGCTCCATACTCAGCACAGGGTCTGCTTGTCCCTCTCCCTCTGCTCTTTCCCTCCCCCCACCCACCATGCTTACGCTCTCTCTTTCACTCTCTCTTAAAAAAATAAATAAATAAAATGTTAAAAAAAAAAGAATTTAAGTTTCCTGACAGTGGAAAACTTCTCTGGTTTGTTCACTACTATAATCTCTAAATTATAGTGCCTAGCCACTATTAGAAGTTAGTACATAATAGGTGCTCAGTAAATATTTGTTGAGTGACTGAATGAGGAAAATCATAATTAAAGATACGCCATGCTTTTATTATATTGTATGAGCTGTATTAAGGAAGAATGTAAATATATCCTTGTGTGTAATATAGAGATAATGCGGGGCGCCTGGGTGGCTCAGAGGGTTAAAGCCTCTGCCTTCGGCTCAGGTCCTGATCCCAGGGTCCTGGGATCGAGCCCCGCATTGGGCTCTCTCCTTGGTGGGGAGCCTGCTTCCTCCTCTCTCTCTCTGTCTGCCTCTCTGCCTACTTGTGATCTCTCTCTGTTGAATGAATAAATAAAATCTTTAAAAAAAAAAAAAAATATAGAGATAATGCCTGCTGTTTATATTCGCAGGGTTGATAAGAGGATAAAATGAGTATTCTTTTAAACTGTAAGTCATTCAAGGTAATTTATTAAAATTTCATTTTAAGGGAATTTTTATATTACAAAAAAATGTACTTATGGCTAAAATGTGCAAAGTACCAAAGATTGTAAAGTGAAAAGAAATACCCTCCAAAATCTTTTCCCAGCTCCTATGAGAATTTGCACCATGTATGCAACTCTATTAACATTTTCTTTTTTATGCTTTCAGAATTTTTCTATGCATGTAAACTATTTCTAAAAAAAACCAAAAAAACAACAACAACACAAGGACAAGAACAAAAACATACACAGGGGAACCTGGGTGTCTCAGTCAACTAAGTATCTGCGGGAAGCTCAGGTCATGACCTCAGGGTCCTGGGGTGGAGCCCAGTGATGGAGCCCTGCGTTGGGCTCCAGGCATCATCTATTTACTAACCAAGTATTTCAATATTTTATCAACTGGTACAGCTTACTATCACAATGTAACTGAAGACTCAACCCAGGCTAGGGCTGTTCCTCTTCCTCTGAGAACTAGTTTTTCACTGTTTTGGTTTTTTACATTGGGCTTCGGGGGAGGAGCCGCTGATGATCTAGTGTCACTGCTATGGCTTAGACAAAAGCTCTCAAAGAAATACTCTTAAATTTGAATTACTGAAACCAGATTAACCCTCCTAACCAATCAACCAAATCATCAAGTCCTATTGATTTTAACAACTAAACTCATCTCAAATCTATCTCTTCATCCCACTGTCACAGCCCTGGTATATGCCATTATCTTTTTTCTTCTGGAATCTTGAAGGGTTTCTTTTTTTCCTTTTTTATAATAATCTCATTATTGATATATAATTCATGTACCTTACAGCACAGCCATTAAAATTTGCAATTTAATGGTTTTTAGTATATTCAGAGTTGTGCAACTATCACCACAGTTAAATTTAGAAAATGTTTACCACCTCAAACAGAAACTCCATACTCATTAGAAGTCATTCCACATTTCCACCCAACTACCCCTTTCCCAGCTCTAAGTAACCACCAATCTCCTTTCTGCCTCTGTGGTTTCATGTACTCCGGATAGTTCATAGAAATGGAATAATATAATATGTGTTCCTTTGTGACTAACTTCTTTCATTTAGCATAATGTATTCAAAGTTCACCCATGTTATAGCTAGCATGTATTAGTACTTCATTTCTATTTATTGCTGAATAACATTCTATTGTACAAATACAACATATTTGGTTATCTCTCATCAGTTGATGGACATTTGATTTGTTCTGCTCTGTGACTATTAGGAATAATACTGCTATGAACATTTATGTACAAATTTTTGTGTGGATATAGTGTTCTCATTTCTCATGGGCACCACCTTGAAATGAAAGTGTTTATGATACAATATCTAAGAAACTATTGCCTAATCTAGGGTTACCTAAGTTTCATAAAGGAGTTTTTATAGTTTGGCGTGCCTGGGTGGCTTAGTTGGTTAAGCGTGGGATTGAGCCTCACATCATGCTCCATACCTGGCATGGAGCCTGCTTAAGATTCTCTCTCTCCCTCTCCCTATCTTAAAAAAAAAAAAAAAAAAAAAAAAAAAAAAACCTTTATACTTTTATCTCATTGATTTAGATCTTTGATTCATTTTGAGTTCATTTTTATATATGGCGTGGAAAAAGAGGTCCAACTTTATTCTATAGCATGTGGATATCCAGTTGTCCCAAAACCATTTGCTGAAAAGACTATTCGTTCACCATTGAATGGTCTTGGCAACTTTGTCAGAAATCAATTGGTCATAAATGTATAAGGTTGTTTTTTTTTATTTTTCCCCTGACTTTTCAGTTCTGTTTTATTCATCTATATGTCTCCCTTGATGCCATTACCATACTGTTTTCATTACTATAGTTTTGAAATCAGGAAGTGCAAGTCTTCCAGCTATGTTCTTCTTTTTTACCTATTCTGAGACCCCAAATTTTTAAATCAGTTGCTTGATTTCTATAAAAAAGCAAGCTGGAATTTTGCAAGAAACTACATGAAATTTGTAGGTCAATTTGGGGAGTATTGCCCTTTTAACAATATTAAGCCTTCCAGTCTATGAACATAGAATATCTTTCCATTGATTTATGTCTTTTTAATTTTTTCGAGCATAATTTTGTAGTTTTCAAATTACAAACCTTGTACTTTTATTAAATTTATTCTTAAGAATTTATTCTTTTTGATGCTAGTATTAATGCAATTGTTAATTTCATTTTTGGTTTGTTCATTGCAGCTGTATAGAAATG